GAGCACACAAGACTGGCTGGCGGCGCGTGAAATCGACTTCTTCCGGCACGAAGACTGGCCATCCTCCCGTCCAGATTTGAATCCGTTAGATTACAAGATATGGCAACACTTGGAGGAAAAGGCGTGCTCAAAGCCTCATCCCATTTTGGAGTCACTCAAGACATCCTTGATTAAGGCAGCCGCCGATATTGACATGGACCTCGTTCGTGCTGCGATAGACGACTGGCCGCGCAGATTGAAGGCCTGTATTCAAAATCACGGAGGTCATTTTGAATANTTTGGAATTTCATAATGCTCAGTATATTTTTATGTTTTAGACAAATAATATTGTAATTAAATGGTAATTTCGACTTACCGATCGAAAGATATACCTCCTCGCTCTATACTTGAGGTCTGATTTTTTGTTTTACAAGTTATAATTGCACAACACGGCACTATAAAGCGGAGATCTGTTCGCCAAAGTAGTCCGAAGCGCATTAAACGCGGTGAATGAAAGAATCGGCCGAGTTATGATTGTAGAAACATAACTGTGGCACGCTTGCCCCGCCTACATTACCATTCCAACCTTATTTATCTATTCCGTGATTTATTTATCTATTCCGTGGATAAAATGTATCTAAATCTAGAGGTGGTCATGTTCGAATTTCGACCATTGGGCGAATACTACTTATATTAATTATAGAAATTATATTAAATGGGCCAGTATTACACTATTCCATACCTTATCGTAAAGAATATTAGCAAATTCTTGGACGGAACGCGCCTCAGGAAATAAACCAGACATTCCTGAGATGACAATCCTGTCATTTTCCCTTGAACACTTCACACCTCGATCTGTGGTAGTTTTGCCTGCTGAAGCCTTCATTTTACCTTCAATATGGTGCAATATATTTATCATTAATATTTTAAAATAGTAAATGTATGAGACAGCATAGTAATGAGTTGAGTTGAGTAATATGATTAATTTTATCTTGGTCTAGACAATCCTGTAATTTTCACACTATCTTAACGCGTAAGTAATAGCAATCAATTTAAAACAAAAAGAAAATTCGACGTTAAGGTTTCTGATGTTTGAACAGAAATTTTGAGATACATATCATAGACAAACTTTTCCATGAGGAGACAATGAAAATAACTTAGTCCCTAGTAACCAATACGTTCCTTCGAGACAGAACCCACATAGACCGTGTAGGGTATTTTTTTATTGCCCGAACAGGCATGCAAGCATACGGCCCACCTGATGGTAAGTGGTTACCGTCGTTCATGGGCGTCAGCGATGCCAGGGGTGGAGCCAAACTACCTACCGCTTAATACTCTCCACAAGCCTCGTTTGAAGAAGAACATGTCATAGCGCTCGAGAAAAATCGTGGAGGGGAGCTCATTCCAAAGCCGGATGGTACGTGACAAAAAAGATATCTGGAAATGCACTGTGGATGAACGCAGTGTCTCCAGGTAGTGTGGACGAACTCTACTCCGGTGACGGGCGGTTCGATGGTAAAAACGACATGATTGTATTATCTCAAACAATTTCTTAGAGCACTCCCCATGGAACACACAGTACAAAATACAGAAGGAACCGAAGTCCCTCCGCAGACTCAGAGGTTCCAAAAGAATGGGATTATCGACAATCCGAACGGCTCTGTTCTGTATGGAGTCATATGAAAGTAGTTGGTATTTGGGAGCCCCGGCCCAACAACTCGACGCGGTTCAAATAACTCACCCTGATGCAAAACAGAAATGGGCTCACTAACCGTCGGTCAGCGGGCTGGAGCCCGCACGTGTGGTCTTACACCAAAGAAGGTGGCTAATTTTAGTCTTACCTTTTAATTAAGTTTATTCCAAAACGTAAATAGGTTTATAGCAAAAATGTTGGAAAGTGATGACTTGAATTTAACTAAACTAATTATGATTTATTTTTCAATAAAATCACGTCTAGAGAACGTCGACCTGTGGAGAATCTAAAAGATTAAGCTTTAGGGATCGATGCCGATCTTTTTATACTTCTGTCATTTGTAATTTAAATCACGTAGAATATTTTACCTTTGAAAGCACCTTCGAAATAAGTGAAGCGTGAAATTATATTTCGGTATAATTTTACAGGTGTTAAATTAATTAAAGTGTTTTTATTTAATACCATCGCCTCCTTGTTTTAGTGCCTAATGACCCTGACTACGTTTTTTGAACCTGTTGGAATTCGCAATACACTGCGCTACTCTGAGCATGCCAGAATTGAAACCTAACTAACTAAAACTCAAACTCTCTCTTGCTCAGCTGTCCACGTTCGATCCTCAGATGAGACAGAACTCACCCCAAGCCTATGCGTTTCTTGTTGAATATTCTTATCAGGATCAGGATTCCTACCCGGTCGTAGATGCAGCAGCCCGTGAGCCGAGAAGTCCTTTGGAGACACTTGAGCGGCTATTGGCGGATTTCATCTCTACTGACCGAGTTCGTACTCACCCACTGTTCCTGGTGAAACTGGAATAGATTTGGGGCTACCGGTTTACCTTTTCTGGGATATTCGTTTGGGACAGATTTTTCTTGGATTTTTTTTATTGCTTAGATGGGTGGACGAGCTCACAGTCCACCTGGTGTTAAGTGGTCACTGGAGCCCATAGACATCTGCAACGTAAATGCGCTATCCACCTTGAGATATAAGTTCTAAGATCTCAGTATAGTTACAACGGCTGCCCCACCCTTCAAACCGAAACGCATTACTGCTTCACGGCAGAAATAGGCAGGGTGGTGGTACCTACCCGTGCGGACTCACAAGAGGTCCTACCACCAGTAATTGGATCTGGGAATTTGGCCATCTGATTGTTACAGCCCACCTCCTGGTAAGTAATCATCATCGATAATGAGTACCAGTAATGCCAAGAACGCAACCAATCCGAGGACTTGAGTGGTCAAACCTCGATTCAAAAAGGAAACGTCATTTGACAAAAAATAGTCATAAATAAATAAATAAACATCGTTCTTAAAATAGGGTTTAGGCGGCGCCGCTCTTGGGGGCAATTTTTTTTTTGTTAAATTCGACGTGTAATCTAAAAATACCATTAAACTAGCGAAAAGAACTTCCAATTAAAGGTCAACAAAGAAAAGTTATAGAATTACTTTTACTAAATCAACAGTAATTTGTTATTATAATTTTAATGCACAAACAGTGCATATTTTTCATTATTCAATGACATTGCTACAGATTGGCCTATGACATCAATACAAATACAAAAACGAATCACCGAGTCAATTATTAAATATTTACATAAATTAATATGTTAATTTTATTTGTACTTAATATGGCTGAAGAAAATAACTAAATATGGCTTTTGGAAGTCGTCCTGGCCTAAAGGATAAGATGTCCGGTGCAATGGTATGTAGCGATGCAACGGCGTTCGAATCCCGCAGGCGGGTATCAATTGTTCTAATGAAATACATACTTAAGATATCCTAACGATTGACTTCCACGTTGAAGGAATAACACCGTGCAATAAAAATCAATGTGTGAAGCAGTGATGTGTTTCGGTTTGAATGGTAGGGCAGCCGTTGTAACTATACTTGAGACCTTAGAACTTATACCTCAAGGTGGGTGGCGCATTTACGTTGTAGATGTCTATGGGCTCCAGTAACCACTTAAAACCAGTGGGCTGTGAGCTCATCCACCCAATTAGTAATTAAAAAAATTTATCTTATTTTGTACATTTCCATTATTTTCGCTTTGTAGGTATATCCAAATTATTTATTGTGATAGGTATAATTCATCGAGGTGCTTGCCAAAATTATCTTCGACCTGACCCTGATTTGTTGTGGCCAGTCCCGGATCACTGGAGTCTCGAAGGCGTAGTAACTGTTCCTTTAGCTTATGCGTATGCTTTTTACTGTCTAGTAAGTATTGAAGTCTGATTGATTATGTTGATTTGCTGAAGTCGCTGGTAAACTATCTCTTTGCTTTCAATACAAGTATTTATATGACACACAAGATTCCATTTTGTAACAATAAGTCTTGCACTAAACAATTAATGATTTGAATTCATTTTTAGATCTTCCATTATTAAAAGAGGCTTGCGACATGAAAAGATTTGGCTGCTGGAAGCTACGAATAAATATTTATTCGTAGGCTGGAAGTGACAATAAAAGTAAATAGGGAATTTTCACATCTTAAGTATCATGTTTGTATTGCGGAACATGACGTTTTAAAGCTAAATAATAAAAAGTAAGTTTATCTTATTAGTGTTTTGTCAGGTTTCATGAAAATATCAATCACTCACAGTTACCTGGGTTTCAGACTTCAAGAGATAGTTTTACTAGAAAACAATTTTCAGAACAAACAAGGTTTGACTGTTTACTTCTCTCACATAGCTAAAGATGAGCTCATTTCCGATACTCCTATATATTTCTTACCTACTCTTGGTAATGCAAATGTGGCGAGTAGAATACTACTACTCCTACTCTATTTAAAATACTTTTAGCACATTGCATTGCATTTGCGTGTGTGCACTGTTGAATACATATTATTATCGTTCTGGTTATCTATTTTCGTTTGTTGTTGATTAAAAAAACATTAATTCACATAAAATATCGCTTTTAATTCACAACAAACATTAATATGTACAGTCAAAACTATTTGATTGATTTCATAAGTTTTTTTAGCTTTTTAGGTTTTGCAATTGTTGTCGTGGTCGTTTCTGCAGTAATTAAACATACGCATTAATGCCTTTGGCAGCCCTAAGCAGGAGTAGACACAACGTCATCTGTGTATCTGTATACTAAGCTTATGTACAAACGACAAAGTTAAAGAAGGTATGGGCGCAATTTAGTATAAAATGGCCAGGTAAACAGTCGCGAAAGAAGGTTCAGAGCCTACAACTGTATGGATGTAATTTTCTTTGTAAAAATGACAACATCCGGGATGTAGGAATAGCATCACGTAATTCAAATAGAAATTAAAGATTAAGGATAATGTGGCAACCCAAAAAATTTATTTACTTAATATTAGTAAGCCTTTACTTATAGTAATTGTCGTCAAAATTTATCACAAAGCTATCACATAGATTCTTCGTTTTGAATTCTTGCAATATTTCAGTTGACAAATTGTTATTGATGATGGCTGCACATCGCACATCTTTGGCAGCATCACAAAGTGGTGCTGATAAATCTTCAATTACGTATGATGATGCAGATGAATTTGACGAATATCCTGGAGAGCGGAGTATTACGACTGTAGATTTCAGTGTAGGCAAAGTTGAAGAGTCGTACTGTTTGATGCTAAGAATTCTTGCATATACGGATTGTACTATCGCTTTCACATATTGCTTTGTTTGTGTTATACGATCGGCCATAATTTTGATATAAGCATCTATTTTTTCATTCCAAGAAGAGTGAGGGTGCAGAGTTTCATCTAAATCTGATGGTACTTCGCCAGTTAGTAGCATAAAAATATGTTTTAAAATTCCAAGCTGCAGTTGGTCCTCTGTCGAGAACGCGCCTAGTTGTTGTTCAATTACTGGCTTGACATCTTCTGGTGCAGTTCCAAGACAAAATATTGTACCCAAAAAACCTGCAATGTTTATAAAAATACCAAATCTTTAAGTATACACACATTACATTCGATTTCTTAAACGGTAGCATGCATAAAGAGAAAACTATTTAGCTAGAGTGTAATTTATTTTTGAATTTCTTAAGCTCCGTTGTTTATTTAGAAATCGAAATGACTCTGGAATGGAAATGATTCTCGAAATTAAAATGCATTCATTCATGCAGTATTTACTATGAGATAGAATACTTCTGAATTGTTTAGTTTTTTTTTGTTGTAAAATTGTTGGAATAATTTACCATTTTTTTCAAGTATTGCAGCTAGTTCCATCGCAATCAAAATCCCACTATCGCACCCAAGCAAGTAGAAAGTGTTACCGACACCAATTTTTTCCATGAGTGTCTGAAAACAAGCAGAATTTGATGGATTTTGTTGCACGGGTCTTTTTTTTTGTTGATCAGATTTTATAGCTGGACTATTTAGTTGATATAGCTGTAATAACCATAGTGATGTTTGTTTTAGGGGCTTTTGCTTCTTATATCCCCTATTTGAATGAAATGAAATTATTTGTTGCAATATATCAATGATTCCAAAGAAAATAAAATTGTCGTTAATATTGAGTGTTAGAGTGATAGTGTTCGAATCCAAGGACTATCCTTTGGCAACCTTTCCAGATTTTTAGGATTCACTAGCTCGAGTAGTATTTAGAATTGATTAAATGTTGGAAGTTCTTAACAGACTAAAGGACACATCAGAACCAAGATTGGGGCTTCACAAAACATAAGACCGTTCGTGTACAGTTATACTCCCATCTAGGGAGCCGAGGCTCCAAGATACCCGCTACTTTCTATTGATACTACATCCAATTGACCGAAATAGGAGATATTTTGACTATTGTACCTCAGCCGAAACAGAATTCATTCGTTCTTCGTGGAACTACTGCGCTACTCAACAATACGTGTTTGTTTATTGATAATTTTTGCCATATACTCGTACGATCGAATTCTGTAATGAGTTCCCTCCCAACAAAGACATCATCATACATGCACATCTCAAGAAAATTATGAAAAAAGCTCAACTGGATTTTAAGTGGTATTAAAATCTTCAACTCTTTGGTCAAAAAACAATTCTATGATGTAAAACAAACGGCAGAAAGAAGACACTAATGCTTTTTTAAATTCAGTTTCTTATTACAGACGCTATCACCTAGTTAAGTTAAAATCTGTAGGTACCTTAGAGTAGCGCTGAGCGGCTTGTTCTATGGTTTCGTGCAACACATCCAAACTTGGCTGCAGCACCAGCGCGGGCAGTTTGAGTCTCTCGCATAGACCACGAAATCTTACGTGATGACCTTCAATCCCCGGAACAACGCACAAGTACTCAGACTTCAGTGCATCGACTCGTTTTTCCTGCATAGATTTTATGTTAACATTAGTTTTTAGATGTTACTTTTTAGATGTTTTACCAGTACTTAATATTTTTTCTCTTAATTAATGTTAACAAGTATAATATTGTTTTGTATTCTATTAAGTACCTTCTACCTCATGGACAATTCCTTTTACGAAAAGTTTACTTTTTGACCGTTTTTTTAATAATGCAGACCACATTTTAGTTCGTCGGAAAACAATCGTGGCCCAATGCGGAATATCATATCCCGTCAATTCGAGAATTTTTCGATAGATTTCAATACTCTACTCACCGCATCTGCATTACCAAGAGTAGGCAATAAGTATATATGAGTATCGGAACTGAGCTCATCTTCAGCTATGTGAGAGAAGTAAACAGCTAAACCTTGTTTGTTCTCAAAGTTGTTTTCAAGAAAATCTATCTCACGAAGTCTGAAACCCAGGAAAGTGTTAGTAAAGAAAAGTCAATCTTCTCTTCATTAAAGTTGGTAAATCAATTACTGGATATAATACACTTACTTTTGTTTATTTAACTTCAAAACATTGTGTTCCGAAATACAAACATGATATTTAAGACGTAAAAATTCCTTAATAACTTTTATGTTGTCACTTTCAGCAACCAAATCTTGTAGAGTGGTCTTGTCGCCAGCCTCTTTTAATAATGGAAGATCTAAAAATGAATTCGAATCATCATCATTAATTTTTTAGTGCAAGACTTATTGTTACAAAGTACAATCTTGTATTTCATACAAATACTCGTATTAAAAGTAAATATGTTTACCAGCGACATCACCAAGCTGTTGATACAGCGGCAACGTCTCAGTCTTTATTTGTGCGACCAACAATGGAAGCTTGGAGCAAAGTCCTGTCTCGACTGCGCCTAAAAGCGATAGATCCCAAGCTCTTCTGTCTAACAGTACTTCAGTATTTGTATCCCCCTGATGGATTATTTTAATGAATAAATTAGTCATATCGTTAACTTCGTGTGACCCTTTCTCCTTTATTTTGGTATTTTTTATTGCTTAGATGGGTGGGCAAACTCCTGGCACATCTGGTGTTAGGTAGTTAGTTATCGGAGCCCATAACCATCCACAACGAAATGCGCCACCTACCTTGAGACATGAGTTTTAAAGGTTTTAAGTTTGAGTTTAACAGTACTATGTCTGTCAAACACTTCAAACCTTTTTATTTTTTATTAATGAGAATTACTGGTGGCCCGGAGGCCTTTCCAGTTTTACCAGAACAGCTACCCCAGCGCCTCCAACGAAGACCTAACAACACAATAGCAGCTGTTTTGCGAGTGAATCTACCACCAGATCGTAATCTGAACTGGCGTGAAGCTCAGCAGGCTGATGTTCAGGTTAAGTTGCGCGTCGAACTTTTTGCCGAGTGTAAGGTCCTAGTGTTAGAGCTGAAGGTGTCTAATGCAAGAGTTATTAGATCTGATGGATCCGTAAGGACGTGTTAAAACCGAAACGTATTAGGACTTTACGGCAAAATAGTTAGGGTGGTGGTACCCACGCTGGCTCATAAGTCGCCCAAGCATCAGAATATTACGCGATGTTATTTCTTTGTCGTGGTCATTTGTGAACATTTGTTAAGTACGTATTTCAATAAAATAGATTGGTACCTGTTTGCGGGATTCGAATACCGGCACACTCGCACCACTCGATACGAATGCACCGGGCGTCTTATCCCTTAAGGCACGATGACTTTCATTCCCTTTTTTGGATAACATTGGATTTTGAAATACATTATATAATTTAATCGTTGTATTGCTTTCTCCGTCATGTAAAATGAAAACTGATGGGCAAATCGCGCATTGCGAACACAATAGATTTTCGTTTTAAATTTGATGTAGCATAAAAATACAAATTAAAAAACATAGAGTTACGTTTTGAGATTTTAAATTGTGATTTTTTAAAGTCGAACTTACACAAAAATCTGGCTTTTGAACTTCAATACGTGAAATAACTAAATTATCCTTTGCTCTGAAAATCGACGTTTGTTTTCCGACGTTTTCACTATTTGTGATCACTGCAAAATATCTAAAAATAAAATATTAACATTTTATTCTATCCATGAGTCATCCTTGACGGTTTAAAGCCAGTACTTTCGAGTGAAGGGCTGATCAATATATGCCAAACGACTCGAAAGTATTTATAGATGATAGTTCCTATCTTAAATTCAATTATCAACATTTTGACTTGAAGATAAATAAGTGATGACACATACCGATCTTCAAGATGTCTCCTGTACGCGAATTTTAATGCAACAAGAAAGTCCCAATCCTCGTTGCATATTAGACGTCGAAAAACATAAAAATGGTTTTACTATTTCTAATAAATAAAGAGAAAGATGTCTATGTTTCGTAATTTTCTGGTTATTATATTACATGCGTCAGAGTCTAGAACTATTTGAGAATGCAAAAAGTCAATAAGTCTTAAAAGCGTACTAGAAAGTCAAGCCTTAACGCTAGTTACCAATACAGGGTATCCCACAAAGGGCAATCAAACAGAATAGTGTTCTATTAGAAAAATCAACTCAACAGAATAAAAGGTCCTAAGTTCCGGAATAAAGAACACTTTGTATTCATCTTTCATTCATCTATTTCTCACAAAAACTATTCTTTTGCCAACACTAGAATTATGTTTTAGGTAAGGTTCCGTAATATGATCCATAGTAAAAAATAAAACTGGCCAATGCGAATTTATGTTTTTGTTTTTAAATATGTTTACTTTAAACATAGATACTAGAGTACATATACATAAAGAACATAAATACCGCATCCCCATTTTGAGACATGAGTTCTGTGTCTCAGTTTTTACAGTTCAACGGCTACCCTACACTTCAAGCCGGAACGCATTACTGCTTCACGGCGGAAATAGGCATCGTGGTGGTACCATTAGTCCGCTCCGACTGTGTCGACATATTAAACAGCTTCTTTTTTGCTTTACAATACAGTTCACATTTAGTAATATTCGCCGTAATCAGTTTGAAATTTGTTTTGGGCTTTATTGAGCCAGTAATATGGTTGCATTTTTGTTGTATTCCTTGTTTGAAATGAGTTGATCGAATTCGTTATTGTCCATCTCGTTATGACGCGTTAAAGTAAATGAACGGCTTAGCGGTACTTTTGTTGTGAATTGAGTTCTATTATCGAACAGAAACAATTAATAAATTCGTTTTTGTATGAAATCTGTCTACTAAATATGATATGTACGATACGAAACGTTTTTTTTTTCGTGTATTTTTTTTATAGTAGTGGCACACCCTGTATACATATTGATACACATAATAAATGGCCAAACATAATATTTAAATTTAGTCTAATTTTAGTAAATTTATGAATACTATAATAATTCTCACTTGAGGGATGGGCAACATTTTCGTGACATAGCATCAAGGTATTCCAAGCTATTTGATACGTATTTATCCATATCTTTGAAGCTCGTCACATATACGCCTTCTACCGGTCCCATGGCTATAGTTTTTTTTAGCACGGTTGCAACATCATCCAAATCATTTAAGTTATTTGAAGATACGATAACATTCACTCCAAGAGATTTAAGATTACTGAAATAAAACACTACTGATCTAATTAATTCTATATACATATATATATATATATATAAAAAGAAGATAAAAGAAAAGAAAAAAGAAAGAAAGAGAGAGAGAGAGAGAGAGACACAGAGAGAGAGAGAGAGAGAGAGAGAGAGAGAGAGAGAGAGAGAGAACGATCTCTTTAAAAAATAAAAAAAATATTTAAAAAATAAAATAAAAACAAATAAAGCTTCCAGTGTTGCGTATAAATAGAATAATATTAATCCAGTGACTGCGTATAATCTAATCGGTATTGTACCTAGTACTATTGCCAGACTTTCCTGGTTTGGAGCCCGCACATACCAATAATTGAATACGACCTTTCTTATAAAAAAAGTCTTGTCGAATTATCAGGTGCAGTAGTACTACATATGCCACTATGTAACACGCTTTACCACTATATTATAGTGATCAACATAGCATTATTGGGAATAAGTAGTAGTATTGACCATGGTCGTATTCTGATAAGTAATCAAACAGACTTATAGTATGTAAGATGATGATGATCAGATGTAGATAATAAGACGATGATGATGATACTGATTATGTTTATGCTAAAACTAATTTACAATGAAAATAGACAGTATTGAGAAAATAAATATAAGTAAGGGCATCTTGTCTGTGCGAGTGGAACCAGATGACACTATTCAATACAGCGTTGGCAGATAACATTCTGCTGTTATTAAATACCAGTGGCTATCGGTTTCATTCTAGACTAATTTTGTAGATCTGTAGTGACAATCGTTTGAATTGTTGAATATAAAAAAAATGCAATAATGTAATTTCATACATCTGTTGTAACGTTTAGACATAATTTTAGAAATATGTAATTGTAACGAAATTCGTAAAATTTTTGAGCTGAAGATGTACATTTTAAATCGAATTAATTATATGTGAAATTTCAGAATCTAAAAAGGGATATAATGCTTTCTTACAAATCCATGCATGAATGTTATATTTTTTACTAACTCAGTTTGATGCTGGAGATACCACGAAGGCTTCGCACAACAGATATGTAACATTCTGGCACCTCTACTGATAAGCTTTTTTGCCAATTGAATACCAAAATATTCGTCGCTGCAGATGATTAAATGGCTGCATTTAGAAGTACAGTTAATCCTGTAATTGTAATATTATACCTGATATAACTTCAATTGGTGACATCTTTTAATAAGGTGACTTATTAAAGATCTTGTTAGCTTACGGTTTTAAATAATTATCATGTTATGTGGTTCTTTCTGTGTTGTAACAGAACCTAGAAATTCCAAAATTTAGACTTTACCTAAGGCTAGCTGGAAGCGCTCGAGCTGTAAGTCTTAAAAGCACATGTCCTCGATGCCAACTCTTCGATAACAGGCGTAGAGCTCGTGGAGCTTCATCTGCAGCATAAGTCACTCGCCCTAGTGGTCGCACGTAGGCCTCACATATGCCCTCACTCATGAGAATCTGTAATTTCTGTGCATACGGACCAAATCAACGGACTGGAATTTGATAGCCCCAAAATTTCATTGAAATTGCGAGAGACATGCATCGCAGTAAGAGATATTCTAATGCGATAGTGATTTAGGATCATGTCTCTAGGTCGACAACTGTAGTCACTTTATGTTATCAGGGCTAAAGTCACTTATAGGTCAATTAAGATATATCAAGAAAATTTTCACTAACTTTCAATTCTTCCCTATTCGCAGAATCGAAAATGGATGCAAAATCAATAATCGCATAGGATCTACTTCTCATCAAATTTTTCATACGGAATTCGAACTTGTGCTGGTTTTGTATTTGTGCCGTGTCAAGAACAATGCCTCGAACACCAGAACATTGAAGTGAAACCTGAAATTAAGGACGTTATTTTATCTCAAAGTGTTCAATGCCAAGTTTAGCTAAGTACAAAAAAAAATTCTGTTTCCTTACATGTTTGAGCCAGGGTACAACATTACATATTACAACATCGCAACCTTTCCCACTTGTTGCTGATAGTACCATGTCACCAAAAGTCACATCTCGAGAATTCCCAATGTGTTGTTCTGAAAATTTGGCAATCGTATATTTCTGGGTTGGTTTCCAAAAGTTTCCATTTTCAGAGTATATTTGCCCATTGCCGAAAACTATTTTTTATTGCGAGTACGCTGCTTATCCTGGGATTCAATTGCCAATCTTATGCAATTGTGATTCTACGAATATCGTCATCCCATCGATTTGATAGACGCCAAGAACCGACGTGAATATAAAGAGGCCCAAATAACTACACCTTATAAGAATTATATTCAAAAATGAATGCAACGATTTTGTTACCTTTCAATTCCGGATAGAGCTTTTTCAAGAAACTTTTCATTCTCACGTCACCAACTGTAGTGAACACTTGACATTTGTGTGCCAGAGCAATGGATATGGCAGCCTGGCCGAGTGCTCCAGCTCCTTCGTGTATTAAAATTTTCATACCCGAATAAAGTTTTGCTTTAATCATCTGGAAGATGGAAAATTACCAAATTTCTTTGGTGTAATACGATCGAACATCTTACCAAGCAATAACGCCACACTGAACGTTTACTTAAAGTTGCAGTTGAACATAACATAACAGTCGTATAACAACCGGGCTCCGCGGAAGTCGGGTTCGGTCCTCGCGACCTTAACATTTATTACAACATTGACATATAACAATAAAATTTATAACATAGAACATTTGTACGTTGTATTAAAGTGAGTTAGTAAAATCCAGACTTATCATTAGTAACTACTGCGTCCTCGCTGTGTACCCACACAAAAAGTAAAAAAGAAAACCAGTAACAGAAGGGTCCCATGTATGTATCGGTAATTGAATAGAGCAAAATAACATAATCAATCAGACGTCAATACTCACTAGACAGTAAAAAGCATACGCATAAGCTAAAGGAACAGTTGCTGCGTCTTCGAGACTCCAGTGATCCGGGACTGGCCACAACAGATCGGCGTGAGCTCGAAGATAATTTCGACAAGCACCTCGATGAACTATACCCATCACACGATGTCCACTACAAAAAAAAAACGAGTAAATAATTTGGATATATGTAATTATAAAGCGAAAACACAACAATTAAAATACAACCTTGACTTGAATGGTATGTAAAGTTAAGATAAAATGGACCGTGTGTAATAAATGGTTTAACTGCTTCGCAGTACTTCGCACCGGTAATCTTCAAAATTATAAATAAGAAAAAACCAGACAAGTGCATCTAAACCTGGTGCTGTATGGCTTCCGACTACAAGCTAAGATTTTTCGTACACAAGGAAACCCTTAGCAGTAATATTGAGAATATGATATGCGGCTGCCCATTATTTTGAGACGTTTTTCTTTACTTGTGTTATAAGATCTTCTTGCAACTTGTTAAATTCCATGATCATCCTTGAAAACTAGAAGTATCCTATAGGTTTTTATGAATGACAAAATATGGCTATGGCTTTTGATTCCGTTGACTTGGAAGCTTAATTTTTTTATGACTTCCATTCGCAGTAAACATTATTATTAGGTATTCATTTCAAGTGGATACCAAATGGATTCAAGTGGATAGTTGAGAGATAGACGTTCAACAAACTGATTATATAAAGTATTCCAATATTTTTATTTGAAGACTGAGGCCGCGAAAAACTTTTTTTTAAAATTGATAGTTATTGCTTTTAAAGACTGTTTATATGTATGTAACTAGTTCAGCCATAAGTTCTGTTACAAATGAAAATGCATTTTTTTAATGAAGTAATGTAACATTATTAAAATGTATATCTAAATATTTATTAAAGTCTCAGCCAAAAATAAAATAAAAAACTATATTCGAAATGACAACTTCAATTTTTATACAGGCTTTTAATCTGTTTGGCCACGAATCTATAAATTTACGCACTGTTTCTAAAGGAAATTTTACCACTGCTTGCTTCAAAGATTTTTAAGAGACTTAATGTCGCCGTATTATTTAGAGCAGGCCATGTCCATTAAAACTGACCATAATTTCAAGTCTAATTTTAAGTCTGAGGTCTGGGCTAGATGAGGGCCACTCCTCAGCTCTTATCATGTCCGGAACGTTGCTTTCAAGCCAGGCTTGGGTAGTTTGTACATTGTGACCAGGTCAAGAGTCCTGCTGGAAAGTCCACGGTATACTTTTAAAAAGTGTATTGCTGAGAGGTTTCACAACATGATCTGAGACTGTATCTTGATACACTTTGGCTGAAGTTTTCACTCCTTTTTCACAAAAATGTAGTTTTGTGACTCCTTGATAAGACATGCCCCACCGAACCATCACTGAGGCAGGATGAAGACCACGCTGTACCCTTCCGACCACTTGAGCAGCTTCATTAGAACAACGGCTGCCCCGTCCTTCAAACCGAAACGCATTACTGCTTCACGGCAAAAATAGGCAGGGTGGTGGTACTACCCGCGCGGACTCACAAGAGGTCCTACCACCAGTAAGTATCGCGACAGAAGGCGTTGTGATCTATCCACTCTCTTTAATAGTAAATATTTATTTAGGGCATGTCCTGTCGACGATGAGCACCGAGCTTTAGGTCTTGTCTTTGCTTCTTAATGGGGTTTCGACGAAGTCTGGCTTTAACAGCGTTAACAAAGCAAGCCTTTGTAGTTCTAAGAGCACGCGGCCGCCTCGATCTTTTCTGGTCTTCGACAGACGAGATGTACTATCTGTTGATAGTACGATATGCGAACATACGGCTGATACAGAGCTTTTGAAGTGTTTGGAATATGACCGACGGCTCCATACTCAGTTTGTCCAAGGCGATCACTGTAATCCTATTTTCTTTAACACCCCATTTCATATTGTAATTTGTGAACACGAAAAAATATGTGCAATGGCGCAAAATCGAAAGAAGTTTTTAAATAATATACGAGTTCTAAGTTCAAAATAATTAAAAAGTTGAAAATAGAAAAGTTTTTATGTAACAGTCGTCGTGGCCTAAAGGATAAGACGTCCGGTGCATTCATGTTGAAGCGATGCACCGGTGTTCGAATCCCGCAGGCGGGTACCAATTTTTCTAATGAAATACGTACTCAGCAAATGTTCACGATTGACTTCCGCGGTGAAGGAATAACATCGTGTAATAAAAACCAAACCCGCAAAATCATAATTTGCGTAATCACTGGTGGTAGGAGCTCTTGTGAGTCCGCACGGGTAGGTACCACCACCCCGCCTATTTCCGCCGTGAAGCAGTAATGCGTTTCGGTTCGAAGGGTGGGGTAGCCGTTGTAACTATACTGAGACCTTAGAACTTATATCTCGAGGTGGGTGGCGCATTTACATTGTAGATGTCTATGGGCTCCAGTAACCACTTAACACCAGGTGGGCTGTGAGCTCGTCCATCCATCTAAGCAATAAAAAAAAAATAACAGTATTTATAGTAAGACTAGTTATATAATAGGTCGGGGAAAAGTCTTTTCAAATTATATTATGTATGAACTTGTAATAAAATCTCTTTGGCTATACTATTTGTATCTGGCTGTACTGATATCATGCACCCCACCAAGTAATCATAAGCATTTTAAGTAAGCTTAGTGCTGATGATCCAACGGGAAGTAAGCTGTATCTAAAATTTCTAGGGCCTTACGAAGTAGTGGCTAAGAAACACCATGACCGGTACGCTGTAAGAAAAGTCTGGCGACCTAATGAAGCCTTGTGTCGTGGATGAAGGTAGTTCATCTGGGTCAGACGAATGACCAGGATTGCCGTGTGGGGAGTGTTATTTTTATTACGTTTTTTTTGTTTTTTTTTTTATATTTATTTTGTTTAAGCTTGTTGCAGTGGCAACATTCTATTATCTTCAGAAAGAGATAGCAGTTTAAGGTTAGAGGGAGTAGGAACATAGGAAAAGTTTTAGAAAGACGTGTACAAAGTGATTGTGAAATGAAATAAAGAATTTCGCTATATTCATCCCACTTTTACTCATGAACGTTCCCACATAGTCAGAAATAGACTTTTTTAACTTTTATTGTTACAATTATTGTACCTTTCAGTAACACCGCTGTAATCCATACCATAACAGATTTCGTTCACTTGATGAGATACTGCTCCTGTTGCCTTTTTACCATCTATAGGAGTAAGACTTGCGTAGTGAACCTAAAATCAATATACTCTATAAATTAGAATCTATTATTTAACAAAAAATTATGGTTTCTTCGATCTAAGCAGATACAGAGAGAAGCTAAATTATAAAAAGAATAAGCTCTTATATGCAGCTCTCAACGATTTGTTCTTGTTGTACAATAGTGTAACAATCGAAATTGTTTATACTGTTTTTCAATTAATAGTTTACCTGATAAATTCAATTCCATTGGCTTGGACGGAATATTAAAAGATTCAGTTTACCTTCACAAGAATTCCGGATCCAGATGGTTCAAAGACTTGAGACCAATGAATGGAATTTATATTCCCAGGTTCTGCGCTTAGAAGCATCGTATTTGAACAAGAGGAAGTTTGTATTTTAAACTAAAATAAACCAAAAGCAATTAATAGCTGTAGAATTATCATATGAAAGTGACATTAAATATCTAATCGAACTAAGTTAGCTTGCCTTTATTAATTCAGTTTTGTCTTTGCTAGATGGAACCAACAGAGTCGTGGGATATGAAATTCTAGGAATTTGACGAAATCGTATACCCTTAAGGAACACACCCCCGCATCTGAAATACTTGAAAATATTATTACGTTCACAAAACTCTCCATATGTCGAAATTCTTTGTTTTTGTTGTTCATGGCACATTCTGTTAATAATATATTAACACGTTGAAGGCCATGTAGCCAATCGGTTGGCCCAGCATACTATACCATTCGGGCTAAGCCAAAATCAGGGTATCAGTAATTTTTATCAATTTGAAATTTTCATTCAAATTTATAAAATGCGATAATTTTTATATTCCGTGCAAGATAAAAAAAAAATGCGCCTTTTACCGTATAGTTTTGAAGATATTTTAAAAGTGGCTTGAATGAAAATACTCCGCTTTTCATAATATGGCGTGTTAAGTTTCAATTTTACTCGACGTGAATTTAATATCGCTTGCTTGTTCTTCTTAGTTTTGGAGAAGATACTATTCTAAATCCTGTTTAAACTAGAAGATGCAATTCCAAAATTTATTCCTTTTCATAATTAGTGATAACGAGCGTGATAGCTCGGACTGCTCGATACTACCATCCTGTCTGTGTCGACCGTGAAGTAGGGAAGCATATCGGATTGTAGGTTAGATATTATACAAATTCCATTGGAACATTGACCTTATGCCGTTTCTTCAAGGATACTAGCTATATTTTGAATATTAAGCCCCGAGAAGTTTATAGCTAACCTAGTAAACCTTGTTTATATAGATTATAAAAAGATAAAAATATGTAATATCAACTCACTCCGTCGAATCATATACTTCAGACCGAATTACTTTTAATGTGGATGAACTATCTTTTGAAAATATTTGCTTTTCGTGTTCAAAAATATTAAGAAAAACGTCAGAGATCTTAGCAGGTAGTGAAACACCATTATCGTTCTGATTTAAGATATTCAGTTGCAGCATATTCTCGATCAGCGTCACCCAGTTGTCTCGCCATTCTACGATGGCTTCAGATAAAGTCGTATTTGCACTCTTTATCAAACGGAATTCTTCGCTAAAAATTAAAATGATATTAGGCGGTTAATATAAAACTCATATCTTTTTGAGAGATATTTTCCCAAATTCTTCTGTACTTGTTATAAAAGAATAGATATTCTTATCTATTAGTTATTATAGGTATATAGAATATAAGTCTTAGTTATTATAGTTATATAGAATATACTGTTTTTGGTATATTGCTCACTAACATATGAAACCAATAACAAAAATTTGATATAAATTATTATACTGCAGTTTAAATAAGATTGTAAAACAAAAAATGGGTTTATAATAGATAATTATGATATCTTTTCCTAGTTTATCAATAGTCGTATTGTANCGATATTGACATGGACCTCGTTCGTGCTGCGATAGACGACTGGCCGCGCAGATTGAAGGCCTGTATTCAAAATCACGGAGGTCATTTTGAATAAACTTTAGTGTCATAAGAATCTATGTTTTATTAAGTTCATTTTGGTATATGAATGGTTACATAATGAATAAACTTGTTTCAATTATTTTACATTAAACATGTGACAATTTATGACCTGACTAGGTATAATAAAACAATACTGCAATAATTTTATTTTATACAGTATAAATGCAAAATTACGCAAAAGTATCCTGGTACCTTAGAGTATACATAAGCAAGCTATAGAGCACCCGTTAGCGAGTATGAACTGTAAGTACGGGTTTGAACAATATCGAGTTCGAATATCGAAAAGACGAACGCGCTGATTATTTCTCGCACCGATATTTATTTAATTTTAATGTTATAATGGTGAAATGTGCAGTACCAAGTTGTAAGAATGATTCACGGAAGCAAACTAAAAAGAACAAGGATATTTATTTTCATCAGTAAATAGTGTTTTGATAAGAAAACATAGATTTTAAGTAAATTACTCAGGGCGAGAAAGGGTGTTGCGGGAGGCGCGCGGGTGGGTTCACGCAGCGTGCGTTCCCGCGCCTCCCGCTTCCGACCTTCTCCGCATTGGAGATAGTGCTGTGTCACGTTGTACTCGATACTATGTAATAACATAATTTTTTTTATTTCTTTATTTTTAATTATTTTTCTTTCTTTATTGTATTTAAGATCGATGTCTAAACTAAAAGCTTGGAATTGTAATACATCATAAGTATTTGATACATTTGGATAAGGATTGATATCATTTCTATAAAAATACCTTCAGAAATAATGCCTTATTTTAGAAAAAATTTGGTTAGCATAAAAAACGTTATAGTGAGCCAACCTTAACATATAGACACATGCTATCGCAGACTTTTTAGATCTTTTAAGGGGAAACAATTCTGTCATACATTATTTTAGCGAAACTTTAACCGTTTCCGCAGCGCACGCAGCGGAAGCACTCAAAAAGGAAAAAAACCTGATTTTGAAACACTCTTTATTGGTGCTCCATTTGTATTGGTCTTAACGTGATGTTATATAGCCTTCCTCAATAAATGGGCTATCTAATACTGAAAGAATTTTTCAAAGCGAACCAGTAGTTCCTAAGATTAGCGCGTTCAAACAAACAAACAAACAAACAAACTCTTCAGCTTTATAATATTAGTATATATATATAAATCTTATTACCCTTAAGTACATACTTTTGTGAAATATATTTTTATTATTATTTAAAAAAGTCTTAACTGTGTTTTATTGATCTGCTTAAACCTAAATTTTAGTATTTACTTACCTAATACTTACATACGAGTATATCAATCGTGGCACATCACTATTCGACCGCTACAACATCTGCTTACACTTGGTATAATGGACAACAAGCGATGTGCGCGCTCTATAGTTTATGTATACTCTAAGCCTGGTACTGTTTACGTAATCCAAACCAAAGGATCTCTCATTCTCTTGAAATCTAGACAATTTTATTTTAGAATTTAAAAACCATGCAGATTACCTTTGGTTTACGGTTTCCTTTCAACAGAACATGAGCATTGACTCCAGTTACTGAAAAGGCATTGATTGCTGCGTAATTTCCGTTAATGTGGCAGTGATCGTCAAGAATACAAATTCGTCCATCTTTTATTGCATTTATGTCGTGGCGCGGCGTATTGTAATGCAGGTTACCAGCAAATAAACCGTTGTGGTAGCCAAGGAGCACCTATAAAGTTTAATTGTCGCCCTATTATAAATATCTCATACCGATTGTTTTTAGTCATTTACTCTCTAGTAAAAGATTTGATATGAATTTATGCCTTAAAAATTTATGTTGTGTTCTGGAAAAAAGTTTTTACTCTCTTTTGTTTATTTAAGCTTCGATAAATAAAATGCGGGCGGCGATGCTCGACTGAAGCATAAATAATAAATACACTTAATAGTTGGCACTTCAAATGTGGCTGTCATGGATTATTCTGTAGGCAAATAGAGTAAGAATTTCACACCTTATAATACTGAAAGCAGGTAATTTTGTTTTTATCTATAATAGTAGGCAGCTTTATATTTTTTATATATTTCCTTTGGTTTTTTGTTTGAAACATATGAAAGTGGCCTCGTAGTAATCTGTGACCGGTGTTAAAATTAAATCTGTTAAGAACTTCCACGTTTAAGAAAAGTTTCGGTTTATTTGTTGTAATAAAGTCAATTTCGTTTCTTGTTATGACATCAGGAGATTGCCATGTCCATTTTCTTAGAAGATTTCTTTTATAGAAACTATTCATTATACTTAAGTTATTCTCTGCCGCGTAGTTTATCAACCTTTGTCCGTTATCGTTTCTTTTGCCTATTGTGTAAGGGTCCTGTTATTTTGTCTTCGTTTTTTCTCCTCTGACTAATTTGGCTATTAAAATCTCCCATTACAATAATGGTTTTGTATAAATTCTCCATTATTCCATTTAAGCTTTTCTAGAATTCGTTTTTAGTCTCTTTCTTTGCTGTTTCTGTAGGAGCATATATCTGGACAATTGAAGATTTTTGTAGCCAGGAAGAGTGATATTTAAAATTGCTATACTATTTGACACTCCTTTAAACTCTATTATACTGATTTTAAGATATTTCTTAACCAAGAATTCCACGCCATATATTCCTGGTTGTTCATTTTTGTAGTATAAAATGTGTTCATCATGTTCTTCTATTTTTTCAGCCGACCGTCTGACGTCACGTATACCCAGGATATCCCAATTGATCTGATTCAAAGCTTTTTCCAATTCTACTAATTTTTCCTTCGATTTTAATGATCTAGTATTTAGTGTTGCTATACATAATCTATGTTTTCTAGCCTTTGTATTTGTTTCATTTCATGTCTGATTTCTAGTTGGATTTGGATTGGAGTCGAAATCTTTGAGATCTTGGGGGGTAGTGGTCGGTGGACCCGCGGCGACCAGCCGTATTGGGGTTTTCATTATATGTACTGAATGGTTTTCCTATTCTAGTTGCGATTCCTTACCGGTGTCTGTTAATTCCTATGGTTTAAATTGTTGAGATTGTTTTTACTGAATGAGGATGATCTTGCCCTCATATATTCAAATGCATTGGTTTTGTGTAATTTTGGTGGTGCAATAATATGTTTCGAGTTTCTGTAGTCGAGTGTGTGTAGGTGTATGCATAATATTGGGTGATGTCGAGGTTTTCCGCTTTCTTTTTTCGACATCAGGCGTATCTCTCAGTATAATTTTATTGTTTCGAATGAATGCGTCATTTCCATTTTGTTTTACTTGCTTGAGTTGTTCTTATAAGTTTTTGCGTAATTGTATTCTTTCTTTTGAAAAATCTTCTGTGATATAAGCTTGTTTCGGCATTTTCATCTTATTTTTCAATATTTCTTGTTTCTTTAGAAATGGCGTAAAAGATATAAGTATTGATCTCATTTTTTTCTCATTATACTTCTTTCCCAGTCTATAGTAGTTATTTATCTCATAGAAGTTGATATCAACATTTAAAACTTTTATGATTTATTATATTAAACAGTTCTTGGAGGTTATTTTCTGTTTCTTTTATACAGTGTAGAATCAGCTTGTTTTTATTACCTTTGTTTTCTAAGTATCTTGCTTTGTCGTTCAACTTTTGTAACTCGTTTTTAAGATACTTATTTTCTTCCAAGATTGGTTTTATTTTGTCATCTATATTGCGCATGATAGTTTCGGTTACACTCTGAGTAATTGTTGCAGTTTGTTTATCGAATTCCGATTTCATCATCTGGAATATGGAATGGAATTTTGTCGAAGTCGTCGTGGCCTAAAGGATAAGACGTCCGGTGCATTCGTATCTAGCGATGCACCGGTGTTCGAATCCCGCAGGCGGGTACCAATTTTTCTAATGAAATATGTACTTAACAAATGTTTACGATTGACTTCCACGGTGAAGGAATAACATCGTGTAATAAAAATCAAACCCGCAAAATTATTATTTGCGTAATTACTGGTGGTAGGACCTCTTCTGAGTCCGCACGGGTAGGTACCACCGTCCCGTCTATTTCTGCCGTGAAGCAGTAATGCGTTTCGGTTTGAAGGGTAGGGCAGCCGTTGTACCTACATAGGCGGCACTGAAAATTTCGGGAATTAACGAAGTGACACAACATTACTATTTAAAAATGTATTTATTGCTTTTCGAAGTATTCTCCGCAAAATTTGACACATTTTTCCATACGATGGAACCAATCATTGAAGCAACCGTTCCATTCGGAAGTTGGGGTCTCCAAAATGGCTGTTTTGTAGGCGTCCACAGCTTCTTCAGGTGATGAAAATCTCTGTCCACACAATTTATTCTTTATTTTAGGGAAAGTATAGAAATCATTAGGGCTTAGGTCGGGGCTGTACGGCGGATGGTCTAATAATTCTATGTTTTCTTGCTCTAAAAACTCTTTTGTTCTGTGCGCGGTGTGAGAACTCGCATTGTCGTGATGGAGGATGATGCGGCGGTTGCAGTTCTCTTTACGGAGTTCAGAAACGACCTGTGGCAAACAAATGCTAGCATACCATTCTGCATTAACCGTTCTTTGTCCCTCAAGAGGAATAGTCGTAACATGGCCGGTTTTGGAGACAAACGTGGCCACCATTTTTTTTGCAACACTCCGTGAACGAACAATTTTTGTTGGCTTTAACTCATTTTCGAACACCCAAACTCGTGACTGGTTTTTTGTTTCGGGTTCGTACGCGTATATCCAGGATTCGTCACCTGATACAATGTTGTATACAGCATTTGAGGATCCTGCGTGGAATCTTTCGAGAGTTCTGACGCACCAAGTAACGCGAGCCGCTTTTTGCTCTTCACAGAGCGAATGCGGTATCCATCGGGAAAACAACTTTTTTACACCTAATTGTTCATGCAAGATTATTTGTATTTGACTCATGCCAATGCCTAAAGTTGCCTGAATTTCGCGGTATGTCACATGTCGATCTTCCTCAATCAGCTTACGCACAGCATCAACGTTTTCTTGGGTTACTGCAGTTTTTGGACGACCTTGACGGGGATCATCACTGAGCTTGACACGTCCACGTTGAAACTCAGCAAACCAGTGATAAATTGTGGTTTTGGATAGGGCTTCATCACCAAATGCAGAAATCATCCGGTCAACACACTGTTTTTGTGTTAAACCACTTCGAAAGTCATAATAAATCAGCACACTTGAATTTTCTCGAGCCAATTCTATTTTCTCAACGACTAAACAAGTTTGACAAAACCTCGTGACAAGACCGAGAATCTTTTTTTAAATAAATAAATGGTATTCGATTTTTAAAACCAAGGAGTTTTCAATTAAAAAGATTTTAATATGACAGGAACAGTGGAAATATTCCATTCCCGATACTTTTAGTGCAGCTCTCGTATACTGAGATCTTAGAACTTATATCTCAAGGTGTGTGGCGCATTTACGTTGTATATGTCTATGGGCTCCAGTAACCACTTAACACCAGGTGGGCTGTGAGCTCGTCCACACATATAAGCAATAAAAAAAAGTATAGTTTTGTCATATCTTCTGACATTTTGATCGAAGCCATCGTGATGTAAGCTGTTTTGGTTTGTGTAGATTGGAACGTAATTTGCTCGTTGTGTTGGCACCACTGGATGCCGTTGATGTTTTTGACTTTTTAAAGTCGCTGACAGATTCTGCGTTTCATTTAGTTGTCGTTGATTTAGTTTGATCAAGTAATAAGGTGTTTTCTTTGAGTTTTTCTTGGTGTTTTCGTCAATCTTCCTTTCCAAGTTTTTGTTATGTGATACACGGTTTGTATTCATTGGTTTTCACTGTGGTATGTAATAAAAACTGGAAGCACTATAACGTACACTGTTTTCCTTTGGACAGCCGGAAACGGAATTCATTACAAGTATTTAATTTTAAAGAAATTTACCCACACTTGATTTTAATGAGTATCTCGCTATGAGTATTTTAATTAGTATGAGAAAATATCGCAGTTTTAAAATAGCATCGCAGCAAAATAATGATCAAGCGCCTAATATTGATGTACAAGGCGCCGGCCGGCCGGTGCGCGGCAGCACAGACTAAGAACAATAACAAGAAACACCCAAATCACTTCAAGAAAGGCTTTGAGACTTTGAAAATTATAGATTTCTCCAGGATCTCATGATCAGGTCTTGATGATTACAGAACAATTCGGGAAGTCTACTTTTCGAATAAAAAACTGAAAAGAGAATTATCAGAATCAGTTCAAATATTCTCGAGAACTCGGTGAACATACATAGATAAAAAATGGTGGTCGAATTGATAGCCTCCTCTTTTGAAGTCGGTTAAAAAGCGTGATTTTCGGACCTTAAATAGCTCCTTAACATACTATTATTCAAAAATATTTTCACTTTCTACGTAAATGAAACGAACTATTCCAAATAAACTATTCCACGCGGACGAAGTCGCGGGCAAAAGCTACTTTATTTGTATGGGTTCTATAAAATAGCTAAATAAATAAAATACATATTATGCTGTTATAATTATATACCTACTGTTCAAACCAATTCTTTTCAGAATCGTGTATTCCATAAAGTTATAGAACAGACTTCAACTTTGTTTCAGACTTGATAGTATAATAAGAATGAATACATCAGAAATCAACTAATATACAATTTAGATTTCTTGTGCGCAAGACCCAATTTGAGTAATAGCTAGAAGTCACAATAGTTTGAAAAAATACTCACTTTTATAATGGATGTAATGCCACTAGCCGCTGCGGTAAAACCTATATTGGACATCACGCTGCCTACATACAATGGATTA